ATTCCTTTAATTCTATACACTTAAGCCATGACTTGCCATATGGGCTGACATGCACACACAATAGTTAAAATGCAATGAATAAGCTTCGCATATTAGCTTCAATAACCAAACCGGACATTCTGTCATCTGGTAAACCCAATAAGTATCTTTATTATTTTTTTTCCCCATTCGCAATTGCTTGCTGTTATTTGTTGTTGCTGTTTATTGCACTTGTATTGTAGTTTTAACTTCTCTTGATAAAATAATTATTGTTTTCAATAAATGTACGTTTCGAATGTTTCTCTGTCTGTTCGTTTGCTACTCACAATTTCGCTACCTACTCGATTCCAATTTCAGAAGTAAAATGCTTAGAGGGCAAATAAATGCACTGGAAATCGAAATGAAAACGAAATGGAATGGAAATAAAATTTTATGTAATTGATGAAAATTAATGGAGATTGAGGTTTTATGGATGATGATTCTTGGAAAAGGATTGCTGTTGATTTGAGATGAGAAGTTATTCTTTCGGGTCATTTTGAAGAGTTCTCATGGTTGGTTGTGGATGATTTTATGATTGTAGGTTTAAAATCATTGACTAGAGCTCTGGGAGACACAAGTAATAGCCATTTGGAAGCTTCACTATTTAGTGTCATATAGGAACAAGCTCATAAGATTAAAATTCTATAGCTTAAGCTAAAAACAGTCACAGAAATTTGTGACAAGACACTCCAAAAAAGCTTTTCTCCTCACTTAAGTCCACCACCAAAAAAAAAAAAATTAACACGAATCAAAGTACATCAAAAAAGATCAGAAACAAAGCGAGCACGATCGATACATGTCCATTTAAATACTACAATAGCTCGAGAAAAAAAAGTAAGAAGAAAAGAGTAAATTTGCCAGCCCACCACTCAAAATCAGATTGGAAATGAAATGTACATGATGTACATGGTCTTCATAACTTATCAAGAGTGAGAAAACCGCGAGCGGTGCTTTTTTTCTTTTATTTTACTTTATTCTCAATCTCATCGGTAGAATGATACAGCATAAATTGATCAAATACGATCAATACGATGATGATGATGATTCTATACGGCTTGTAATATTTCCAATTTGATTTGAATTAAAAATATTTATTTTATTTCGATTTCGATTCTACTCTCTTTTGTATTATTAAGATTCGCTGTGTCCCTCCCTTTCTTATTGAAATCAAATCAGTTTCTTCATTTCATACTTCTTTTATGTGTGCCTTTTTATTTGTTAGGAACGGTCAGAAAGATATTCAAGTTATTGAAAATCAATTTAAAATTTGATTCTCTTCATTTATGCTGAATTTATTAAGTAAGAAAGTCATGTGAGATTATATTAATCCATGGCTCTTAATCTTTGTTCTTTGACAGTGGTTCTTAATCTTAGCTCCATGAAATTTTTGGCTATTGTCTCTGATTTAACGTTTTATCAATGCATGGATGTAGCCATAGAGGAGGTGGGGGGGGGGGGGGGGGACATTGAGAGCTAGTGTGTCACTTACTCTGGCTGGAACTCATGTAGTCTAGTAACCGAGTTTAGGGAATATCTGAATAGAGCCTGTAATTTAATGGCTCTTTCTATAATTCACAAAACAAAACTGCTCTGTTTTAGATTCACCAAAGTGCAAAATTACGAAAGACACACGGAAACATTTGAAACCACAAAACGCACATCTTTCTTGTCTTTTTAAGCATCACAGAAGTCCGTTTATATTTCGTTTTGTAATTACAAGGCGGATCATGTCGATGAAGAACGAGAGAAGTAAAATGTGAAAGAATCGTTTAAACGAGAAGCAAAGTGTGGCACTTTTAAGGTTCCTTTTTGTCATATCAGTGTGATCAGACAATTTTTCTTCTTTTGATCTGAATATTGAAAAGAACGGGAGTCGTTAAACTTTCTCACAATTTTTTAAGCGCCATTTGAGCTCAATATGTAAGAGTCTATCGACAAATCCCATTAGTTTCAACTTTTTCTCGATTGCTTACCTCACTACGCGAACATGAACAATTAATTTAGTTTTATTGCCTAGGCATTTGATTTTTTTTTTCTTTTCATTTACCTTCTGTGTGAATTCTCAGCATAAAGAGCGCTACAAAAAAAAAATTATATATAAAGTTAGAGTCGAGTAAAAACATTGATCTCAATTCATTTGATTAATGATCGCCTTTTTCATGAATCGATCAATGTTTTGCTGCTCGTATACTTTGACTTCTTTCTCACTTTTTTTATAATGAAATGATCACTAATGAATTTCTAATTTGACTTCAGTTTTGTATTGATAGACATAATTTTGAATGAATGAAGTTTTGGATGGGAATTTACTAATTTTAGACTAAATGTAATCTTTGAGATTGTGGATTAAAATTTATTTTTGGATTGTTGCATTTTCTAATGGTGTGCTCGACTTATTAAATTCAATTCAGCGTTTAAGATGCTTCGTTCAATGGTTTGACAGTTTTTTTTTTGTGTAATTTAAAGCTGGTGACATAGTTCAAATACAGTAAATTTAATTAAACTTAATCATCAAAATGGTAAACTTTGATCCTTAATGAACTTAATATTGAGGTTTTAAGAGAAATACAGCGAAATTCTCTAATAATGCTATTCCTTGTGGGAATCGAACCCATATCCCTAGAGTTCAGTCTCATACTCTTGTCACTAATCTATCGGAGGTTGTTAAAAAGCTAAGCAGAATTATAACTTTAACTAGGTTGACTAATAGCTACAATTATCCATTCATCAAAATTGATAGTCTAGGAATTGAACATAGGCATAGCAATTTTTCAATTGCTGAAAGCCTTGACAACTGCGCTCCCAAGCCACTCCATCCGAATTACTTGAAAATGACTTATAAAGTTATGAAAACTAGTAGCTTAAAATTATTAAAATATCTCATGCCTTCTTTATAATTCCAAAGAAATACTCCACATGTCATGTAGTTGCTAATCTAAAACTCTAAAAATTAATCCTCACAATTCTCACAAAAATTCTACAGAAGTCAGAAATCACGAGAAAGTAGCGAGCAAAACGCCAAATAATAGTATTAAAATTATTAATAACAATAATAATGATAATCAGAAGATCAATAGATTTAACGATTAGTCTGATTCGATACTATTCATAAGAAATCTCAGAATGATTTCTATTGCTACCAAACTAATCAAGTAAAATCTACTTTTTTTTGTATATTTCTTCTCTTATTGTTCTTCATGTGAGCTACAAACAAATTAGTCATGGAGAATTTTTTATTGCTTTAGCTTCTAGTGATTATGTTGCTATATATGCTAGGTATTATTGGGAAAACAAATCAATATAAGAAGCATCAACAATTCATTAATAATGAAAACGGGGCGCGGGCAGACACTTCGATGCAAACATATATCGCCACATATTTCTCCCTCGACATAAAAAAGCAATTTTTCTATCCTGAAGCTATTATCAAAGCGTTTACTGAATCTGTAGGAAAATTTATGAAAGAGAAATAAAAATATGTGATGAGAGGAAATGAATTGAAAGTTGGATGGGAATTGACGCATTTTGGTGGGAATCGAAGCTAGTTCCTCCAATACAATAGGATTATAGGAGTCGGTTTCTAGGACTTCTTGGGGCAATCTAGTTTAACATGAAATATAAAATTGATAAAATTCATTTTAAGGTTCAAAATTTAACTGCGACTAGAGTAGATGCCTCGTCTATAGACCCTACCCTAGATTTGCTTACATATGAGTCGATACCTCAGAATCTACTTTGCTTCGACTCATTGGCGTTTATGAGCAATAAATTGAACAAGATTTAAGGTTGATAACATCAAGTTGCTCATTCCTAGACTCATGAATCAAGAACAAAACGAAATAAACTCCTCCATGTCGAAACCAGAGAAAATCGAGCTCACAACATCAAGTTTATTTGTAAATGGATAACTAATCGCTTTTTTCTATTCTCAATTCAGAGATATATATGTACAATTTAATGCTATATTCCTCTGCTTCTGCTTTTTTGCTGCCCGTTCAATTCCGTATAAAATTTTTCATTCTCCTTCCCTCCACAAAAAAAAAATTCGATTTATATGAAAAAGAAATGAGAAATGAGAAAAATATGTTACAGTTATTAATGAACATTCGACATTCAACCGATGAATTTTTATGATGATTCCTATTTCGTCATTCGTTGTGCTGGAAATTTTAAATCTTCAACAATTTATATTTTTTTGACTTCTCAGCTTGATTTGACTCCTGATTTTACGGGTTATTAAAGGTGGAAATATTTATAAGTTATCGGTAAACTTGAATGAAATTGGACAGAAGAAGTAAGATAAAGATTTTTTAATGAGTTTTAAATTCTTTTTTTAAGTTAATGAATAATTTTTGAATTTGAAGTAAATGTTTGCATGCAATCATAACAAACTGAAATTATTTTGGTTTAGGTTTGGTTTGGTTAAGGTTCAGTAATAACATTTAATCATCGACTTGACTCAGTTTGACTTGGTTTTAATTGGTTTTACTTGGTTTGACTATTTTAATGAGGTTAAACTCGAATTGATTAGGTTTGAACTAGGTTCGACTAAATTCAACTAGATTTGACTATGGTCGACTAGGTTTAACTAGATTTGAGTAGGTTCGACTTTGTTTGACTAGGTTTGACTTTGATTAAACTTAGTTTGACTAAGTTCGAACACATAGGTTAAATTTGATTTTACATTTCGAGAGATGACTCGACTCTGAACTCTAGAAAAGAAATTTAAAAGAAAATCATTTTCATTCCATTTTTAAACATTCTTTAATTATCATTATTTCTCATACTATTATAATTGCATTTAAATATTAATTTTATAAATAGATGTCGTTGATGTTGTATGTTGCCTGTTCCTATAATTTTTCTAGATAAATTTCTTAAATTCAAATTTAAAATTTATTTTTAAATCAACCAAAACAAAAAAAAACAATTTAAATGGCTTTCATTGAAACATATCTTCGATCTTTTTCTTCTAATTTCAGATGCTTGTCAATTAAACCACCTGAGAGGTATGAATCATGTTGATAGCCATTTAGGTTAGCGATAACTTTCAATAAGCACACATCAACGCACATCGTAACTGCTTGTTCTCGGCACTAGTTTCGTGGAGTGTGGATGGGCTATGGGATATCACTAACAATCACACTAATCGCAAGTTTTTCAGATTTAATTATTTTTTGAATTTCAGGCTGCTATCTTAATATATACTGCTATATAATGACATTTGATGTGCACCAACGCTGACCCCTTTTTTTCTAAAATAGAATTTTTCAATTTAAATTAATCAAATTAAGAGACTTTTCAAATTATTTATATTTTTTTTTTCGTGATTAAGATATATCCTCACGGTGATGAGAGGCAACAGCCAAGCCCCTTTTTCAAATGTTGATGTTGCGGTCTAATGATCACCTAATTGCCGTCTAACACTTTACTTTATTTTGTTTTGGAAAAAAAGTAAATAAAAGATCTTCTTTTTTTGTATTTTAATCGACTAAATAACCCCAACTGTGCATAATAAAGGCCGCATGCACGAGAGTAAGAAGAATAAAAAGTAAACAACAACAGTTTCTAAACCGTTTCAATTTTCACAGTCGCTTGATTGAAAAATCGATAGAAACTAATGAATTTTTTTAAAGTCAATGAGCCACATGAGTTGATTTTATTCATTTATTTTTTGTGTTTGCTCTGCTTTTAATAGGTCGTCAAACATGTGTGAAAAAATGAAAATTCCTCCAACATATCACTCAATAAACCTAGCTGTTATCATCCCGTAATGATCAGAGAGAAAGTGAAAGAGTGTCAATTCCTAATGAGATTTAAGATATGTGACTAATAAATTTCACATTTCCAAGCGTCCTCACACTCCTTAATAACAAATTTCTTCATCATGTCACATAAATAGAATTTCATCCATTTATCTATCTATCCGGAGTCTCTTACTAGCATACTTGTCGAATTAATTATCTATTTAGTAAGTGCTAGGAAAAAAAAGATGTTGGAATTAATGAAGTGTGATATAGGAAAAAAAAGAGGCAAAAAAAGAAAGAGAAATGCCAACCCCACAAGAATAATTTCAACATGTGTATCTCGTGTATGTTTAATGATGAACGGCAATATGTAGAGCAGACAAAAGTATTTAGCGTGTTTTTCTGGGTTTTGGTGGCACAAGTGGTCAAATAAATTGGACCTTATCGTCGTTAATATAATGTTTTAATGACTGAATCCAAAAAATGAAGTTCTTTCTTCTCAGTATGAAAAACGTTTTCCTTAATTTAAATGGGAATTGAACCCATGTTTTGACACAGAGATGGTTTAATTCATCCTAACCACTCTGTCAAAAATTCCTTATTCTCTTCCTTGCCAAATTGACTATTTTAATGTCAATCAAAAATATAGAACTGATCAAGATGATCTGAAATGATCAAGAACCATCAAAAGAATATAATATTTAATTCAATTTAATTAGTTTCTCTGCTTTGGTTTTGATACTTTTGAAATTTCCAGTAACGTGAAAATCAAACGATTAGGTTTATGCAAGCTAAAGCCACAGCTCGAAGTCGATGAAATATTGAATGAAGTCGAGCCGACTCGGAGTCATACAAAATCGATGAAAATCTAGAGTCGAATTCGAGCTAAGGCTATACCAAAGCCGAATTCATAAAGACGTGCTAAAAACTAGTGTTTTACAGTATGAACTTTTTGTGATTGTCACATACACGCTCACCTCAACTTGTCGTCACCTCTTGTTCTCATCATTCTCTAAATCCGATTGAAGTCATAAAAGAAATGAAAAAAGTACGTTTTCACTCTTAATTAAACAATTTTTATCCACAAACTTATTCACATTATTAATGTGACTTTAATAAGGGAAAAGAACATGAAAGAAATTGTAGATTTTACCAATGAGTTTCAAGTTCAGAATGGATTGTAATGTAGATTGTATAGTTCTGTTGATTACTCAAATGAAAATTGCACAAGTTTTCATGCTTTTGAATTTCTTTCTAAAGTAATTACAGTTGAAACTTCTTAACTAGGTTGTTAACTAGCTACCTTGACTAAGGCTCACTTCGAACTCACTCATTCAAGAATCAATTGCTCTATATTAATCAACAAACTAGCTGCAAACAAAATTAATATTAATTTCAACTCATCCAGCCCACATAACGCACCACAAAAGTAATAAATGGATCTAAAATTGACTCAAATATCCATAAACTCACCATCCAGAACATCATCCACAAAAATGATAAATGAAGAAGTTCAAAATAGCAATCAAAGTTGATAAAATTCCCTGAAATGATAAATTGGAATTTAATTAACTCTTTTTACTTATTTCTTAATGCTTTCACCACAAAATTTCCTTTCTGGTTCTTCTATATTCTTCTTTAATAGCCTATAACAACAATTCATTTGTCTTCCGAGATAGAGAATAACTCATGTATATAATAAGATGTATTATAGACCTTGTTGTGTAATTCACATCCATATTGTAACTTGTTGTTGTTCGATAGGTAAAAGTTTTAGAGAGCATGTAGAAAGACAAAGATGTTTTAATCTTTTCTACTAAAACCTAATCTGCTTCTTGGATGGATGGGAAAGGGGAATTGATGATTTATTTTTGTCTGTCTTTTAAGGTTATGTAAATTTTGGTTCAAGATGAATTTTGGTATTAAAGGGTTTACATTTTAGACTGAATTAGTGATTGTGGGACCGATTTCGTAATGAATTACTAATCGAGTATATCATTTAGTTGTTCAAGGGTATGATTAGGTAGTTCCTTGACTTTTGAGGCTTTATGACCCACAATGACTTCAAATATGCGTTTTCACAGCTGTGGGACTCGAAATCTTCTTATCCTGATAGCAGAACATGTCAGATAACAGAATGCATCCCGAGTGACACAACATAACCGCTTGGATATTGTTAAGTCACCGTGTTCACTTTCAGACATCAATAGACGTAAGAGGCCCCCCTCTCACCTAGAAGACGAGTTTTGCCGCAATGTGCTGCTCGGTTATGCAATGTCAAATACCAAACTCTGTTCATCTCTTCAATTTCAATTCCATGTTATTACAAAAATGTTTATGAAGCAGATCCATAAAGATTTTTTTCATCAGAATCAAGAAAAACATGCCAAACTTTCATGTTTTAATGTAGCATTGTTATTTAGGATATATCCTTCATACATGCGTACATTACAAATGTTATTAAGTCAGACAGAAAGAAAGTTCAATATGGGACTAGAAAATAGACACCTTGTGTCTATACACACATATCTATATCTTCCTATCTAAATTCACAATAACCATTCTTTCATGGTCTCATGTCATGCATAAAATGCGATATGTGTCTATGCATAATACATACAGCAGCGGCAAAATAACAACAACAGAAATGACAACATAACAATCACATACATTTTGTTGCAATTTATCATTTCAAGTGGTATAAGTAGCAAGAACATACCTTCGACTTTTTTTTTATTCTTTCTTTCACTTCCTCACTTCGTTTTTTTGCCTAACATATTCAGAATATGTAAAGAATTGAGAACAAGAGATTGACAACAAAGTGAGCACAAGGCAAGGCGAAGAGTGGAAGGAAAACAAATTTCATTGTGCAATTTTCTGCTTATGGTTTACGGATTTATTCTTTGTGAAATTGGAAAGGAGGGTGAAAGTTTTTCGTGTTGATTTAAAATACGAAAATAATTTTTATTGTAGGATATTAGAAATAGGGGGGAGACAGACTCGAACATGTCAGCATCATACCTATGTGAAATTTTTAAATATTCATGGATTTTGGTATTAAAATAGTTGAATCAGATTGACTAGGATTTAATTTTGAATCGATTAGGATGGACTTTATGGGAAATTAGGTCCAAGTTTTAGCACTTCTTATTTGAAATTGCTTAAAATTGATGTCTGCGATCAATCCAAGGGTATGGTACTGATGAAATGACCAACAATTATCTAAAATTATCAAAATTGATCAAAAATGCTCAAAATGATCAAAAATGCTCAAAAATTATCAAAAATTATTAAAATTGTTTAAAAACGATCAAAAATGATCAAAAATTATCAAAAATTATCAAAAACGATCAAAAATGATCAAAATTGATCAAAAATGCTCAAAAATTATTAAAAATGCTCAAAAATGATCAAAAATGATTAAAATTATTCAAAAATGATAAAAATGTAATTTTTCAGTTCCGCACCCTTGGTTCAACCATCCTAGTCTCTTACCCTTGACTATATCCCAAACATAAATGCTAATAAGACTCACCAAACCCCTAGTCAGCCGTGAAAACAATTAAATGAACAAAATGTCAATGACAATACTTACTTCCTATTTTATTACCTTTTCACATGTGTGTGAAAAATGTCATCACATGCTTTTTGCATACAACAATCATAAAAGCAAAAATCATCATCATCAAAACAGTCACAAAGTAATAATTGCGCTGATTCAGTTGAATAAAAAAAAAAAGTACATAATAAATTTATTTCTTTTATGATTGCGTGACAGTCGAGCTGAAAAATACTGAAACATGATTTTCTGCATGTAATTTTCATTATTGCTGTTGCTACTCACTTACTTACTCACTCAATTTTTTACATTTTATAATGTAAATAATGTAAAACAGTCGAGTCTCTTATTTTTCATATGGGGTTTATTTTTTTTTTCGTCTATGTGTAGATATGAGTTGCTGTAAGGTGGATGTTCCCTACAGAAAATTTTCTCCTTTTGCGTAATAAAATATTCAAAATTAAATTAAATATTTCATATGTAGATTATGTAAAAAAAATTTGGCTTTTTTTTTTAATTTCAACTCAATTTTCATTTTCATTTGAAATTGAGAATTTTTCCTTCTGCAGAGCTAATCATAAATTAATGTGTTTCCATTATTAACCAACATTTCATGACTTTCATCTCATATGTGATTATTCTTAATATGTTGATGAATATTGCATAGCAGTTTTGAAGAACTTTTCATATTTATTTCAAATCT